GTGCGGTGGGGGGGGGGGGGGGGTGTCCATGGCAGCTGGGGTGTGTGTCCATGACAGTAAGGGGGCGTGTCCATGAGTTAGGGTGTGTATCCATGACGGGGCTCACATTATTGAAATGACACTGAGCTTCACTCATCCCAGAGTGTGTTTTTTTTATATGAATTTGAACTGGAGTTGGGCTTTAAAATGAACCTATTGCTTCCCCTAAATAACACCCAAAAGACCACATTAATAGATTTACAGAAACACCTAAATTGCAATAAATATAATTTTATTAATAGCTATTTTCCTGTTCTTCATTTGCACTAAGAACATGTTTACATGTACATTTCCTCTATAACACTAACACACATGCCTCCCTCAGAAACAAGGCCTTGCATGGCAGCTAGTGTGAATGGAAAAGGGCTTTATTGCCTAGCGAGAATAGCTGCAACTGATGACAACTAAAATACTCCAGTAGGAAAAAGTCAGCCTAAGGCTATTTATAGCAACACGGGCTGTACGTACCTGCTATTCTCAGGCAAGTCTCTATAAATGTAACACTAAATCAATGTGTAAATAAAGAGAGAGTAAGCCCCATTTTGAAGAAACAATACTTTATTTAAATCCTTGCATAGCAATTATCATAAAAACCTTACCCCAGAAAACTATGTTTGTCTTGTTATGGAACAGACACTGTGATACTTCAACTGGTCTCATCTAATGACATGACCCATACACACAAAGGCACTTTCTATAAATACAGATACAAGGTGGTGGCAGAAAAACACAGGTGAACTGAATCATCTCCTAAATAGAAGAGGTGGCATATGGTAAACAATATTTTTTTTAAAGTAGAAGTTAGGGATAGCATTGTAGTCCATGTGACTACATCATATTATTTCATTGAATACAAGGCAGCAGAGCCTATGCAGAGTTTGGAGCACAATGTAGCATCATCATTTGTAGCCCATACACGAGTATAGTGTGACATATCTCTTCCCTTTTATACTTATGGCTTATGGAATAACCATATCTAACGCTAAAAGGCAATACAATGACTTGAAGGCACTGACATACATTTATATCTATGCTGTAGACTGAATAAAGCACACATTCTGTATTATTTTACTTTAGCACTGGTCATTGCTCTGTGCTGTAACACAAACAAAAAAAGAAAGAAAGAAAAATGACTAAAGACCCTTATACAAAAAGACTAATGACCCCACAGTGATACATATGGTGAGTTTATATATGCGTACAAATACATATGCAGTATAGCTGCAATAAAACAGATAAATAATGATATATGTGCTTCATAATGGGTATACAGTGTTTTCTTTTACCCCCCTTGGCAAAGTACTTTTGTACCATTACTGTTTAACTTATTTTGAATTGTTATGGCCTCTATATTGTTGCAGCAAGAGCTTTTTCAACTCTGTAATATCTTTCTAACCAGTATCGGAGGACTACAGGAGTATACGTTATAGTTGGAGTTTTTGTCTACAAGAACCAGTGAGATTTATATTTTGCGTTTTAGAAAATGCTAGTTGGGATCTGGTTGTCGTAGCAACACATCCGCTTTTCCCTTCTTAATTAACCCCACCCCCTACTTGGGAACCACTACAACAGTGCATTAAATATGGGCCTTGTGGAGTCTCCTTGGAATTCCATTTACTATACATCAAGAGTGGATTGTGCATTCAGGGTCTTCCCTTTCCATTGCATTAAGGCATTCAAGCAACAAAGGTTTCTGAAAGCATGTTGGCAAATTATACTCTACAATCAGTATAATGGTTTGGAAGCATTTCACCATCTGCAGCAGACATGAGGTTACTGGACATTTTACTGGCAGTGTTCGAATCAATACTGAGAGGTAGCTAAGCCACAGCTCTGAATGTAAACACATGTAAACCTTCCCACTATGGTCTTTTGTGTCTTTGTATTACTGTAAGGTTTGGTGGATGTATTAGGTATTAGCTGTGTGAAGTAGTGACTTCTACTGAACGTTATAAATGCAATATTTTGGTTCTACCGTTGTATAGTGAGTGGTTAAATAGAAAACAATAGTCTCATAGAAATCCATCCTGGAGTATATATTTGGGAAAAGGTCATCTGCTATAGCATAGCAATAGAAAGTAGTAGAGGTAGCAGCCCCTATCTATGACCCTAATTCAAGCAGGCTTGTCTATGTCCTTTTCCTACCAATTGTAGCATCATCAATGCAAACGTTATAGCTAGAAGGCACGTTTTTGCTCTTTCTGGCTTTGCTTCAATACACTTAACAACCACTCACATAAATTATAATGGGTTCTACACTAAAGGTAACCTTCTGACATTCAGAAACTTAATGAATAACCATCTTGTCATCTAACACATAATGTGTAACCAGCTAGTTATCTGATCCTTCCAAAAAACGGTGTTTGGTGGAAAACGTATCTAGACTTTGTCCTCCAGCCGTGAGAGGGACAATACGGGCTTCCAGTACTGTAAAGACATTCACAAACGGTAAACCACTCAACCTGTCATTTTCACTTGCACTAATCAATCATCTAACTCCCATTCACAAGTTTCCCTTTCTTACACTGAATCTGAACAATTTCATAGCTGAAACACACAAATATGACCAGAGACGCTGAGTACACTAATGACCTTGTGAACAGAAGGTCACTCATTGCTGTTCAAGAAAACTCGACTTCATTCATCTTTGAGAGAACTTTGGCTTTATGTCAGCGTACCTAATTTGTATGTGTGACAATGAAACAGGCCACCCAGGAAGGGCACCAGGGGGCAGTTCAATATGTTCTTCTGCCTGGACTGTGGTAGCACTCCTGCAGTCTGTTCATGAATACTAAATATGGGAAAAGTGCACAAAGCATAATGGGTATTGTTGCATAAATAATAGCAAGGATTTTGTTGCTTTCTACTAGCTGTCCCTGGCCATCTGAATGTCACATAATAGTGTAGTGTCGATACACACAGAAAACAACAAGGTGTACACACAAACAAGCATGGGAAGGGGTGGTGTCTGTGACGTTATCTTCTGCTCTCTTCATTAAGAGCTCTTAGTCCATAGCCAGCTTCTGACATCATTGCATTGCTTGTCTCATGGCGATTCTTGTCGGGTGATCTCCAATGTTAACCGTAACACAATCATACAGATATGTATTACTTTTGAAGCAAGCCGTTTTGTTTCTAAACACCTGAAGCATTATAGCAATTCACCTTGACAGCATTTTTCTTTAAATATATATAAAAAAATCATACACTGTGTTTGATGTGCTGAAACATTAAACATTGCACATCATCCTACACTGCTTTGAAGGCATTAGTGAGTTGAGGAAATCTTGTTGTCTTAGTTTTTGAAGGCACCAAACAAGCAGAATACACAAGAGATCCTTTCATAGAGCAGAAGAGTGAGTGATATGTATGTGCCATAAATACATAAGATAAATCCCTGCTATCCTATGTTCTAGACTGCTTACACATAAAGTTATTGCGCAGTTTAACTTGTCTCTCTATCAGGTTAGCTGAAGACGTGTCTTGCATATTACATGGTGTGACACTACTGCCGGGTGACAGCTGTGGCTCCTGGTGACTTTCTCCAATGGCTTCTACAGCAAGTTCCGCTAGGTCTTCTCTACAGGTCATCGCTTTCTACCAGTGCTGCCTGAAGGTGCCCTGGACTTGCATCTGGCATGAATGCTGCTTTAATATCCAGGCCTTGGTCAGAAAGTGCTGCATATCGACTAGTGGAGGGACGTACTTTTCTCGTCTTGGGAGTATGTGACTGCTGCCACTGAGCTGTGGAAGAAGAATCAACATTTAAAAGAACATTCATCTGTAGGTTTTATGTTAATGCTGCCTATACTTTAAGCTTTCACATCCCACAATCACAACAACTGCTGTGCCCAGCACTACCTGTATTTGCTATGTAAAACAGTGCATTTGATGCCTACATGTGCCACCTTTCTTTATTGTGCCAAATACAGTACATCTCTCCGCTTCACAGGCAGTGCTGGCACATGACTGTCTCTTCTCTGATGCATATGGCTTTTTGTTTTTCCTTCACCACATTGCTTCAAGAAAGTCAAAAACGTATATAGAAAATACACTGTCACATTTACAATGCACAGTGGTGTTTTTAACAAATGTGAATTCAGCTTGAATTTTTTGGGACGCAAAGCAAATAGGGGAAAAAACAGGAGGAGGAAAGCCTGGCCAAATGAACAGTCAAAGTCATGTGACTGAGCTCTCCACATATCACAGCATTATGCAGAGAACATTATAAAAGACACCACAGGCTTCATTCTACAGCTTCTATTTTATGAATGGCTTGAAAATTCACCTGCAGTGTGCTGTAGACCTATCAGCAGTGTGTATTGGTCATCAATCTGTGTACAGTAAACTTTCTTATCTGGTATTCAACTAACCAGAACTCTTATCTAACCAGAAAACAAAAGTCCCCTGTGTACTCACTGTTCTGCTGATCTGTGGCATGTATTAACCTGGAAACAATTGTGTGTCTGCTTGTCTTAATTTGCTCTTGATTACTGCATTTCAATATTCATATAAAGTCAATACAGAGTTTGTTATGATATGGTATATGTGGGGTATGGCATTAGTTAGATCTATTTTTAATAGTAACTCTCAAACAACCAGAAACTAAATTTATCCAGAATCAACCAATCCCAGTGGATGCCGGATAACGGGGAGTTACTGTATATATGTGGCTATGCCAACAGGTGAAGAAATACATATATGGTCCAGCGTGAATATCCTGCTAGAGCAATGAAAGCAGTAAACAATATGGTTCTTGCAGCACATGTTCTGTAGAAACAAAGTTTAGGTTTCCAAGAATAATGTATCCCATTTGCCAAGAAAAAAAAAAAGAAAAAACCTTCTGCCTACAATAAATCTACCTACACATGCTACAAGCAACATGCTACAACACAGAAAGTGTTACATTGATACACAGTCAGCACTGTGGCATCAATTTGATATGTTTCTTCAATACTTACTTTTTTACACCATACAGTATACTGTATGAAGAGGGAAGGAATCAGTGGGACATAGAACATTGGCATTAGAGTTCCACAAGGATGTACAGTAAGCAGTTCACATGTAACATACTAGTGTCTTCCCAGACATGAGCACAAGTTTGCAGTGGACTTAGTCCTCAAAATGCCCACTATACTTAGGTGTGGGTTATAAACTTACCATGTACATCAAGCCTTGCAGTACAAGACACAATGCCGGCCTCATTCTTTGCTGACACAGTATACCAGCCAGCATCCTCTTTGGTGGCTCCTTGGATCAGTAGGCAAAGGTAACCATAGTGATCCTGATGCATGCTGGGGAAAAAAAATAAAGCAGTTATCACATGAATGATCAAGGGATATCTCAATAAGAATTATTTACATGAAGTCTGGAAAATCAACAGGTATTTTTCTGTATGTACATGATTGTTAAAAGGATAAAGCACAACAAAATGTGCACATATTGCAGAGATACACTGCTTATTTATTATTGGGCCTTGGCATACACTTTAATATTTGAAAAAAAGCATCAATCATCAGCCATATGCTAATAGGTCCAAAACAGCTTGTTTTTCACATCTGTCTTTAACATTCCAGACATGTTAAACTCTCACAGTAGGTGCAATGAGATCAGGTACCTGACTCTGTCAGTGTTATATGTCAGAGAATCGTTTTCTTTCTTCCAGAATATCTGGGGTGGGGGACTTCCTAAGACTCGGCACTCCAGCCTCACTGGATATCCTTCGGCCACTCCTGTATTCTGAAGCTTGTCTAGGAACACAGGTGGCTTGTGGGCATCTCTTGCTGTTGAAAATAGGAAATACAATACAATTATTACCAAAGAAATAATTATGTATCACGGCATGAATATATTTATTGGATTAGGACATAACTGGCTCACAGTAATGACTCTCCTGATGAAGTGTTATTTGTTTTTATATTGAGGTTCAGGCTTCATTTAGTATTCTCGGATGATAATAACTTGTACATAATGTTATCATAATATACATCATTTTACGTATTAGTTGCATGCTATTCTACATTTCTAGAACTCCGTTGCAGAACAGATACATAAAAACGAATGTCTCTACCAAGAACTTTTTAATTTTTAGTTAGCACTTCTGTTTTGCAGCACTCAGGTCCTCAGTTCGAATCCCGACCAGCACATGCTGGTAGGTTAATTCTCTCCTCTCTAAATTGGCCCTCATTTGTGTGTATGTATGTATGCGAGATAGGGACCTCAGACTGTAAGCTCCTTGAGGGGAGGGACTGATGTGAATGTACAGTATGTAGAGTGCTGCATAAACTGACATCATTATATAAGTAGTTATAATAAATAAATACATGCAAAAGGTTATGAGAACAGATGGATTTGTAATCTAAAACATTTGCATCTGCAGTAATATAGATCCAGTACTTTCAATAGTTCTTGTTCCGATTTCCTCCTTCCACTGGTTCCGTGCCTCATATCAGGTTGTCAAAAGGAGCCCACATTCAAAAGAACAGAGGCAGAAAATGGAGGAAATGATAAGGAGTACATCAAACTGCTGGATTAAATGACAGGGCCTCAAAGGTCTCTTTATTACCAAAGCCTAAAGCTATTACCCTCCATTAAAAGTAAATTATTTTAGAAGAAGCTTTTCTCCAGCTCACTTAAAGATAAATGAGAATTTGTACATCAGGTATATGTCATTAGTTCAGTTTATTTGTATTTCCTGCAAACATTTTGGTGCTGGTGTAATTTCTTGGCAAATTGAATGCTGGAACCAACATTTTTGTTGGTAATATGCAGGGGCGTATCTGCCGTGAGGCAAACAAGGCGTTTGCCTCAGGCGGCAGATTCCCAAGAGCAGCAAAAATGCCGCCCCCCAAAACATTTAGGCAGCCGGTGTACGATCAAAAGTTCCCGGGCGGGCTGCACAGAAACCGGCAGCCTTGCGGGGAGGAAGCAGCGGGCGGTGGAGCAGGAGGAGACAGGAACGGAGCTTCAGGAGGCATGGGGCGGAGATGGGGGCGGGGATGGAAGAGGCCGAGTGAAGACGGAGCGGCAGGAAGCAGTGGGCGGACACAGAGGAGATGGGGGCAGAGATCGAAGAGACGGGTGAAGGCAGGGGGGCGAAGACTGTAACACAGGAGGCAAGGACAGAGACTGGTCCGCGATGGAGGAGGCGGGAAGCGTCGCGGGAAGAAGCTGAGACGATTTGGCGCCAAGGCAGTGGAGGAGGCTGGGTTTCCTGTGCCAGGTAGGTGGACTGTGCTGGCAGGGCCCAGCATAGGTTTTGCACAGCCCACCAAAGAGTCGCAGGTGGGCTGTGCAATACCTTTTGGTGGGCTTTGCAGGAACTGTGGGGGACTTTGCAGGGTCTCAGGGGGCTTTGCAGGGTCTCAGGGGGCTTGCAGGATCTGTGGTGGGCTCTGCCAACCATAGACCTCGCAGTGCTCACCACGAATCCTGCAACGCCCCCATAAGACCGCAGCTTTCCTGCAACGCTAATAGCGTAACATGTCAAAAGCTGGATACAGCGTGTGTACTGTATCCAGCATCTGACAGGTTATGTTATGCACAAAGTATTAAACAGGAAGGGGTGGGGGAAATTAAGTGTGTATGGGGGGGGCGCCAATTTTTTCCTTGCCTAGGGCAGCCCCAAACTAGAATACACCACTGATCCTTAGTGGACCCTGGCCAATAGACATCCAATAGGAAGTGTCCACGTCATAATGGCACTGATATGGACATAGCGGATTAAACAGGAAGGGGTGGGGTAAATTTAGTGGGGGGGGGCGAGTTTTGCCTTGCCTAGGGCAGCCCCAAACCAGAATACACCATTGGTAATATGGCATATGTTTGTTTTGACTAAGGATTCTTCCAGGAAATGTTGTATATATCCAATGTAAAGTTTAGGGTTGCAATTTAGAAATGCAAAAACAAAAGCAAATCTTTAAAACTTTTACCTTAAAAAAAAACTGCTAAAAAGCAAAACTTACCCCTATATAATCTACAAAACCGGGCTATCAATGACAACCCCCTCAGGAGCATGAGGGGCTCTGTGTGCTCCTGGTAGAGTGCAATCTGGCTGCCATAAAGCTATGATGGGCAGAGCTCTCCATGTGTAATCACAATTTTGTATATTTCTTATTCTTTGTAGTGCTAAATGTAAAAGCTTGGGGGGAGGGGCACATTTTGTCATCCTCCCTTTGTGTGCTAGAGGACCTTGTCTCGGCACCGGCACCAGAAAACGCCAAACAGGTAGTACAACAACCTGGAGATGGAGCAAAGGAGTAGACCCTATTTATCACTCTATATGGTCCCATAACCACTATTCAGATTTCATTCCAATGCTGGAAGATTAGATATGGATGTTGAAAGTCTTTTTATGTGGTTGCTTACGTTGAAGCAATATACAGTGTATATACAGTATATAAAAAGTAAACAAACTGTATTGACACTGATATATTTGACCAAGTTCTAATGTAACCTTCACTTGCACCTGCACCCTCTTTCCTATCCTCTGATTCAAATATATGAACCATGATTAACACTCTACAACAGATTTTCTCAGCCAGGGTTCCATAGAACCTTTGGGTTGCTCCAGAGGTTGCTGACACTAAATCTTTTTAGCTATCTGTAAGGGGCACACTGTCCCCCTTACACTGACCACTGTGCTAATGTACTGTGAGCTATTACTGTGAGTAATTATTTGCAGGGGTTGCCTGAGAGCTGAAAGTTATTCCAATGAAAACTGCTTGTTAAAAGGTTTGAGAAACGCTGCTCTACATAATTCTTGTAACTAAATGGTGATTATGCAATACATAAAGTCTGACATGTTAATCTGGACTTCTAGCAAGGGTTAATTAGTCTTTGCATCTACTCCCATCTTAGAAAAAAAAGTCTGTGCTAAAAACTAAATGCACGGAAGCTCTGCCAGGAACTACTACAAACAGATGACAAGCGGAGTGAGTGCAATACTTTCCAGCCAGTGCGTAGATTTTACTTGGCCAAAAAAGGTCTTGAGGTGCCGCTATGTAAAAGTCCACAGTAAAAACGTCTGCCTCTCCAGATCTGGCTACATTTTTCATATAACAAGAAATCATAAACCAAATGCACTGAAATGGCTGTGAATTGTAACACTGGTGCCAAAAAAGAAACAGGGAGTCCCCAATCTCCTATAGTGGATTGGTGGACAAAAAACAGCTTAGTCTTATGCCATGTCACCATAGTTACACAATGAACACACTGATACTGGAGGCAGAGAAAAATTGAACTGCGCCTGCTATAGAGTATGCTTCTATGTATGAGTCACTCCTTGTAGTGAATTCTGATTCCTACACTGAAGAATGAAGCTGAGTGTATAAATTCTGTCCTGTGGAGGGCTGTTTGATATCACAGCTTTACAAACCCATTGTGCCAGGGGAAACCTCTCACCGCCATTCTACCAGGTAAAGGAGGAGCTACACATGGACTTCAGGGCATTGGAACTTAGCAGAACTGATGTATGTTTGTTTCATTATCAACTAACCGGCAAAAAGTAGTGATGAAAGATTGAGGTTGCCACCATTCCTGGAAAAAATACCAGCCTTTCTTTTTTATTGTCTCCTACCGAATACAAGAATTGGCATACAGTCCCATGTTCAACCAAGCCACTAAAAAAACTGGTCGGGTGGCAATTCCAGTTCAATTTTACCCCCTTAATCAGCTGTCACACTGCAGGCGATCTACTGTTATGTCTACAATATTCTCACAACACAATAACAAAAATTACAAAATGAAAATGTAACAACATACCAAAATTGTAACTGTTCTAGTACCTTTGTAAAAATGGCAGTTATAAAATTGTTGTAGATTTTGGTCTTTTGTTAGATATTCTTAAAAGGTTTTATAAGTGGTCTTATGCTGTGATTCAAGCAGCAAAGCGGAGCTTATCTCGCATTCAAAATGCACACCCACACACCACATGTAACTCGTTATAGCCACTGATCTACTAGTATCCTCGATATGCCAGAACAAAATGCAATCAAGAAACAACAAAGTAAAAGAAACTTAAAGGATAACTTCACTTTTAATAAAATTGTCCTTTACATCTACACCCCACCTCTGTCAGTGTAGCCCGCACACTACTTACCTTCATCCCCACTCAAAAGTTCTTCCTTTTCCAAAGTTTCCTTTGGCAATTATCTAAAAAATGTGTCTTAACACATGAGAAAGACAAAGAGAATCAAGAAAGAAGAGATATACTGCCTGCCCCCAAAAAAGTCACACACTCTAATATTTAGTTGGACTGCCTTTAGCTTTGATTGTGGCACACATTTGCCATGGCATCGTTTTGATAAGCTTATGCAAAATCACAACATGTATTTCTATCCAGAGTTGCATTCATTTTTCACCAAGATCTTGTAGTGATGATGGGAGAATCAGACCACGTAAAGTCTTCTCCAGCACATCCCAAAGATTCTCAGTGGGATTTAGGTATTGGCTCTGTGGTGGGCAATCCATGTGTGAAAATGAGGTCTCATGCTCCCTGAACCATTCTTTCACAATCTGAGCCAGATGAATCCTGGCATTGCCATCTTGGAATATGCCCGTGCCCTCAGAAAAGAAAAAAACCAATTGATGAAAAAACCTGGTCATTCAGTATATTCAGGTAGGCAACTGATCTCATTTTTTGGGACATAATGTTGCTGAACCTAGACTAATTATCCAATAGAAAGTTCTGACCTATTTGCTTAAATAAATCCAGGTGGTGACTTTTTTTTTTTTGGACAGGCAGTGTACTTTTCCAAAGAAAACAAAAGGGAACAAAGCGCCACCTCCATGATTCTGAGGAAGGGGGCTTGCCCCTGAAACACGTCAATATTGGCTGACTGCGGTCGGTGGATGGTGATGTGACCGGAGACTACCGTGCTACATAGTCGGGGTGATACCATGTTGGGTTAACAGACAGTGTGTCCTCTCGTTTGTTGTTAAAGTGTGATGAAAACGTTTGTTTGTGAGTACTTTTATCCCTTGTTTTATTTATTGTAATAAATGATTTTACACACGGAGGTGGCGCTCTGTTCCCTTTTGTTTTCTATGTTCGTGGTGGAAGCCCCAGAGCCTTGGATGAGCAGCCCCTCAAGTCTGTGTAAAAAACTGTGATAAACTGTTGAAAACTTTGAGTGTGCAACAGCAAGTGGATTGTTCAGCTGGCAGCCATTAGCACCAAGAGTTTTAGAAAACTTTTTGTCTGAAGTGTACTTTTCCAAGCTCAAGATCAAGCTCCAGCCACTTCGGATGTGTGATACCTGCTGATTGCCACTTTGTTTGGACTGTATTATTCTCCACAGATTTTTCCTTGTACTGTCCGGTCAACAATAATTTAGGCTATCAACCGTCATTAACCATTTCCAATCCCATACTTTCTAACACAACATTAGGCCCACAATATACACAACAACAAAGCCAACTCTGCCAACTGCTATCAAGATCTCCACAATAACTGTTCAGCTTGAACACTTAGTCCCCGTATAGCTATTTAGCCTGCATGATCTTTCCCCCAGAAAATCTTCAGCTCACACACCATGCACTTCAAAGGCAATTAATCTGGTTTAAAAAAAAAAGAAAAGAGAATTCCTAATGGACTCATAGTATATGGAGCTGCCTTGCAGCATTGGAAATATGCTCACCACAACTTACATCCCCCAGCAGTTCAGTTTCTAACTGGAGGTTTGTCCACTCTTGCTCCTAGTGTAAACTTCAGCAATCTGGCCTTAAATTACTTCAGTCTTCAGCTCCCACGTTATACTGCATACTGTCCATTCCAAAGTTTTTCTTCCAGCTTTAGGTTAGAGACAACTGCTGCAGGTTTGTAAGCACATGAGTGCACACCTTGCTGTACAGGTGAAACTCGAATAATTAGAATATCGTGCAAAAGTAATTGCAGTAAGTGCTGCAAAAGGGGCCCAAACCAAGTACTGAGTACATATGCATGCTTGTACTTTTCAGAGGTCCGATATTGTTCTATGTACAATTCTTGTTTTATTGATTGCATGTAATAATCTACTTTTTTGAGGTTGTGGATTTGGGGTTCTTGGGGTTTTCATGAGCTGTAAGCCATAATCATGACAATTATGACAAATCACGGCTTGAATTATCTTGCTTTGCATGTAATGAGTCTATCTTATATATTAGTTTCACCTTTTAAGTTGCATTAGTGAAATAAATGAACTTTGCACGATATTCTAATTATTCGAGTTTCACCTGTATATTGTACAGCACTCTCGGTCAGGACCGGATTAACATAGGGGCAGGTGGAGCCCCTGCTCCAGGCCTGCCCCTAAAAATAGGCCTGTCCACGACCAGACAGCCGCGGCCCTCTATTCATGCATATTAGAGGGCCGCTCACTGGGGCATCTCGGGGTCCTAGTGAGGACCCCTGGATCTATGTGATCCAGTGCGTTCCAGGCTCGAACTGCACTGGGTATGGTGTGACTAGGCCCTAAGTGAGGGAAAGTAGAATGCTATCTGCTTGCTATAGACAACTCATCTCTCTCTCTCTCTCTCTCTCTCTCTCTCTATCTATATATA